AAAAAAAAAAAAAAAAAAGTTTTTGTCTCATGATCACAAATTATACTCCTTTTTTGGATATTTGCATTATTTACGGAGATACAGCGATTTTAAGGTTTCAGTAGTATGTTTTTTTTAAATTCTTACTCTTGAGCATGGCCACTATTTTCTTGAGCTCTAAGCAGTACAATACGCTAATTTAATAGGTATTGCTCTGTTTGGAACCGATTGAACAACGATAAAACACGCAAGAATCCGATAATGAAAAAAATTATTTTTTTTTGTTTATGATCTTAAATTATACTTCTTTTCTGGATATCTGCATTATTTTTGGAGATACAGCGATTTTAAGTTTTCAGCAATATTATGTTAAAAAATTCGTACTCTAGGGCACGGCCACTATTTTTTTCGGGCTCTGAGAGTTACAATACGCTTCTCCGAATGGTATTGCAGTGTTTAAAACCAATTAACTAAGAGTGAAAATCCCAAAAGTCCGACGATAAAACTGAACATTTTTTTTTTTTGTTTCATGATCACAAATTATACTCGTTTTTTGGATATCTGAATTATTCACGGAGATAGTGATTTTAACGTTTTAGTAGTAATTTTTTCAAAAAATTCTTACTCTAGAGCATGGCCACTATTTTCTTGAGCTCTAAGCAGTACAATACGCTAATTTAATAGGTATTGCTCTGTTTGGAACTGATTGAACAACGATAATACACGCAAGAATCAGATAAAGAAAAAAATTATTTTTTTTTGTGTATGATCACAAATTATACTTCTTTTTCGGATATCTGCATTATTTACAGAGATACAGCGGTTTTAAGTTTTTAGTAATATATTTCCAAAAAATTTTCACTCTAGGGCATGGCCACTATTTTTTTCGGGCTCTGAAAGTTACAATACGATTCTCCGAATGGTATAACAGTGTTCAAAACCAATTCACTAACAGCAAAAATCCCAAAAGTCCGACGATAAAAAAGAAAATTTTTTTTCTGGTTCGTGATTACAAATTATACTCCTTTTTTAAATATCTGCATTATTTGCAGAGTTACAGCGGTTTTAAGTTTGTAGTAATATTTTTTCAAATAATCTCACTCCATAGCATGGCCACTATTTTTTCGAGCTCTAAGCAGTACAATACGCTAATTTAATAAGTATTGCACTGTTTGGAATAGATTGAACAACGATAAAACACGCAAGATTCTGATAATAAAAAAAATTATTTTTTTTTGTTTATGATCTCAAATTATACTCCTTTTTTGGATATTTGCANTGTTTGGAATAGATTGAACAACGATAAAACACGCAAGATACCGGTAATGAAAAAATAATTTTATTTTGTTTATGATCACAAATTATACTCCTTTTTTGGTTATCTGCATTATTTACAGAGTTACAGCGGTTTTAAATTTGTAGTAATATTTTTTCAAATAATCTCACTCCATAGCATGGCCACTATTTTTTCGAGCTCTAAGCAGTATAATACGCTAATTTAATAGGTATTGCAATGTTTGGAACAGATTGATCAACGATAAAACACGCAAGAATCTGATAATAAAAAAAATTATTTTTTTTTGTTTATGATCTCAAATTATACTCCTTTTTTGGATATTTGCATTATTTACGGAGATACAGCGATTTTAAGGTTTCAGTAGTATTTTTCTAAAAAATTCTTACCCTAGATAATGGCCACTATTTTTTTCGGGCTCTAAGCAGTATAATACGCTTATTTAAATGGTATTGCAATGTTTGGAACAGATTGAACAACGATAAAACACGCAAGAATTCGTTGATGAAAAAAATTTTTTTTTTCGTTTATGATCACAAATTATACTCCTTTTTTGGATATCTGCATTTTTTACAGAGATACAGCGGTTTTAAGTTTGTAGTAATATTTTTCCAAAAAATTCTCGCTCTAGGGCACGGCCACTATTTTTTTCAGGCTCTGAGAGTTACAATACGCTTTTCCGAATGGTATTGCAGTGTTCAAAACCAATTTACCAACAATAAAAATCCTAAAAGTCTAAAAAAAAAAAAAAAAAAGTTTTTGTCTCATGATCACAAATTATACTCCTTTTTTGGATATTTGCATTATTTACGGAGATACAGCGATTTTAAGGTTTCAGTAGTATGTTTTTTTTAAATTCTTACTCTTGAGCATGGCCACTATTTTCTTGAGCTCTAAGCAGTACAATACGCTAATTTAATAGGTATTGCTCTGTTTGGAACCGATTGAACAACGATAATACACGCAAGAATCAGATAAAGAAAAAAATTATTTTTTTTTGTGTATGATCACAAATTATACTTCTTTTTCGGATATCTGCATTATTTACAGAGATACAGCNGAGATACAGCGATTTTAAGGTTTCAGTAGTATGTTTTTTTTAAATTCTTACTCTTGAGCATGGCCACTATTTTCTTGAGCTCTAAGCAGTACAATACGCTAATTTAATAGGTATTGCTCTGTTTGGAACCGATTGAACAACGATAATACACGCAAGAATCAGATAAAGAAAAAAATTATTTTTTTTTGTGTATGATCACAAATTATACTTCTTTTTCGAATATCTTCATTATTTACGGAGATACAGCGATTTTAAATATTTAGTAGTATTTTTCCAAAAAATTCTCACTCTAGAGCATGGCCACTATTTTTTTTGGGCTCTGAGAGTTACAATACTCTTCTCCGAATTGTATTACATTGTTTAAAACCAATTTACTAACAATGAAAATCCCAAAAGTCTAATAAATTAAAAAAAATATTTGTCTCATGATCACAAATAATACTCCTTTTACATATATCTGCATTATTTACAGAGATACAGCGGTCTTAAGTTTTTAGTAATATATTGTTTTTTCTAAATCTAGTTCCAAAACCAGACCACGACTTTTTTCGGGCTCTGAGAGTTACAATACGTTTTTCCGAATGGTATTCCAGTGTTTAAAACCGATTTACCAACGATAAAAATCCTAAAAGTTTGACAAAAAAAAAAACAAATTTTTTTTTATCTCATGATCACTTATATTGAATCAAATTATACTTTTTTTCGGATTTTTGCATTATTTACAGAGATACAGTGATTTCAAGTTTTGAATAATATTTTTCTTAAAAAATTTCTATTCTAGAGTGGGGCCACGACATTTTCCGGTTTTTAAATTGTACGACACGCCAATTCGAAAGGTATTAGTGTTTGATACCAATTCATTAACGATGAATCTTCTAAGTGTCTGATAATGAAAAAATTTGTTTGTCATATGTATGATCACAAATTATTGGCCTTTTTGGATATCTCTATTATTTACAGAGATAGATCGATTTTAAGTTTTCAGTAATATTTTTCTAAAAAATTATCATTCCAGATCATGGCCACTACTTTTTTCGAGCTCTGAGCGTTACAATACGTTTAACTGAATGGTATTGCAGTGTTTGAAATAAATAACCGATTTTCCAACCATAAAAATCCCAAAAGTCCGATAAAAAAAAGTTTATTTTTCTATATGATCGCAAATTATAGTCTTATTTAGGATATCTGTTCGTACTGTCAAATCGCTGTATCTGTGTAAATCATCTAGATATCCGAAAACGGAGTATAATTCGTGATCATATGTAAAAAAAAAAAATTTTTTTTTGTCGGACATTTGGGAGTTTTATCGTTAGTTAATTGGTATCAAACACTGCAATACCTTTTGGATTAACGTATCGAACTAGTTAAAGCTCGAAAAAAATAGTGGTTATGCTCTGGAATGAGGATTTTCTAATTTAGAAATTACAAAAACGTAAAATCGCTGTATCTCTGTGAATAACGCAAATATTTAAAAAAGGATTTTAATTCGTGATCATATGAATAGTAAAAAAAATTTTTTTTTATTGTTTGACTATGGCATTTTCAACGTCGAGAAATTGGTTTGGAACACCACAATACTTAGGAAATTAGCGTATTAATCTTCTCAAAGCCCGAAAAAAGTAGTGGCTATGCTCTGGATTGAAATTTTTCATTGATAGAAATTATTCAAACTTAAAATCGCTGTATATTTTTTAATAACTCAGATATCGTAGAAACTACAATATTTGGTGACTGTTAGAATAAACTTAATTGTTTTCTAAAATAGGGGGACATTGGACTGTTGAAACGATGAAGTTTTTGCTTCTTACACTTTATAATGTGTATTTTTGTACTTTAATTAGTTCTAATAAGGATCTAAAAATCGTTTATGATATTAGTTGGTGTGGGGCTGAATTCGTGTATTGACAAGGTTTTTGACAAGACACTTGTGACAATTGTTATTTAGAAACGCAGGGTTTAGCTTTTCAAATTCCTAATATAATTTTTTCATTAAAAATTGAACAGTTGTTAAACATTAGGTACCTAATCTTGAGCTGTTTATATGTATGCCATGTTTACCCAAGTATTATAATATATATCGTTGTAACCGACATCTGAAATCATTTTCACAATAAATTGTAATCCATCAAGTACATATTTAACGTATGCGATGTATTTGTTTACTTACTGTACAGTCTGTACACCTATTCAAAATGTATGTAATAGTTTGAGGGATGTTGGATAAGTACCAGTTAAGTGTTAGCGAAATCAAGCCGGTTGTAAGATGGCACTATTCCATGTATCACAGTTCTTGACAAAAAGTAAAAAAATAGAATTATCGACGCATGCGCTTCTCGAAATAATGGCGTCTATGTACCCCCACGTATTCTGTGTTTCTTGGGGGTTTCGTCGTCACACTGTCATCTTTTTACGCGACTGCCGCCCCGTCGTCCATGTCGGGATCAGTGCCATTGGAGGCCAGCAGGCGGGGGTTGGCTTGGCAATAAATTTATACTCCTAACCCTGCCATCATTCTACGATAAAATCAAATATCGTCGTGTTTTTTATGCGTTTTTAACTGTTACATGTACTCTGGCGCAAACAGTGCCAAGTGGTAGTGAATTTTCATTTATTGAAAAAAATTGCAGTGGTGGAAAGCTTACCCCTACCTATTGGGTGGGCAACTTACATCTGGGACCGAAAAAGTGTTACACTGTGACTCAACGGGAAAGTCGAACGTGAGTAGACGAGCAGTACACTTATTGTCACTCGTTCTCAGTTTCATTTTACGTTTGCTGAATAAAGTACATCATTGCACACACTTTAGAGTCTCTTGATTGTCATGGTCGTTCTAATGTCGACGTCGAGCTTTTGAGCTTTTTAATGGAGTGAGACATACTACATACGCATTAATTCGTTTATTGCTTGCTTTATTTATCACGGAAGTATTGATTCATTTGTACTCTTCTCTGGGCCTATTTTTTTTGTCAAAAATTTTATCAGCTAAAACCTGATGCTTTTATGCCGTTTGGCAAGATACACTCTCAAATTTTCTCGTTTTCAATTCATCATCATCCCCCTTGGGGAAAATGGCCACGAATCTGAAAAAAACTAATATTCGTACTATAAAGATGTATGTTAAAGCGACAAATTCCTTCAGTGCCTTTACAGCAAAATCATACGGATTACGGATGCGTACATTTTGTGTATGTATTTAAAATGGCCAAAATACGAGAACCCCAAACTGATGCACATAATTTCAACTAACTGCTTTAGTATCGATAATATTTTACGATATTTATTTATGACAATCACCATTATTATTTCCAACCACTACTCAATATAACATGTATAATATATTATACATGTATAATATATTATACATGTACTATGCACGCACGGGTCAATATGACGCTCTAAATTTACTAAACTATAGAAATTCCTTGGTTATACTGTCCCATTGGTATTTCGTTGTGTTCACCGTTCGTATAGCCTTGGCTTCTGTTGCAAAATACACACACTTTTCGCGTGACATTTCATCCACTCAGCCAAGCACTGTACAGATAACACGAATATTCGGTAGTGAAATTTGCGAGAAATAAATCATCTGGTTTTAGTTTGCTAATCTAATAATTAATTACTACATTAAAAGAAAAAAGTGGGATCTTTGAACTCGTCATCCGCGAAATAGATGGTTGAACCAAACTATACATTTGAACCGCGTCGAAAAGAATTAAAGTTTTTTAAAGTATGTACAATATCCTCGTATGGTGAAAAAAAGTTGTCTTGAAGTCATTACTTTTATTGAGCCCTCGGGGGCTGACTCTTCTAGCTTTCGTTAACTGCACAGGTACAACTCGAGCAAAAATGATTATTCAGTCGGCAATATTTGAATTGGTGATCTGAAAGTTTCACCATACCACACGTATGGATCATTCATCTTACGCAAGAGCAACAAACGTATTGAAACTTCATGTGCATATAGCAGTTTATATTTAAAAGACAGTGGTTGCACCGAGTAAGATCAAGGGTGCATTTGAAAAAAAAAAAAAAAAAAAAAAAGAGAGAGTCATGGAAAAATCTGCGTCGTGGCCGTGATTGTGATTTTCAAAATGCACAAAAAGAGTCGGCATCCAGGGGCTTTGTTTTTTATTCGGTTATCCATCTTTTCTCTTCTTTGTTTTTTCTCTCTCTCCCTCTCTTTCATCTCATTGTGCTAGGAGATAATACATATACCTATACGCAAACGCAATGAATGACATGCAGGAAGACAGAGAGGGTTGGCCGATCGATATTAGGTGCCAGTGCTGTCGGTGATGTAAGCTCCTTCTGTGTTGCTCCTCGACTTTTTCGCAGAGGCACTTGTCTCCCTCTCTCTCTACCCTCGTACACATACACACGTATACATGCTTGCATTAATATGAAGTGTAGATATGTAACTTATACGTGCCAATTACAAAGCTGATTGAGGACTTTTGATTATACATATAAATGTGCAATTAAGTTTGAATTGATGCTCGCTTAATCAACGTGAAATCAGAAAGTGTGATTAAAAATGCAACGTATTTTCTTGGGTAACATCATTTCATCGTACCTACAGGTTCATGTACCGCCGAGATATTTTGTTAAGAGGATGAGAGGACTTTTTCAGAAGGATAATACTATTTTTACGAATTTGATTAATATTAATACTTTTATTTACTTTAAACGTGAAATAAAAAAAAGTTAACGTAAAACTGTTTTTTTTTCCCATAAATTTAACCATTTGTTTTTATATTTTATGATATTTTAATATTTATCCACTTTCGTGGAGGGTTGTTTTAGAATCCACTATTTAATTTTTCACGGCCTTATGTAAAGAGTCCTATTTGCAAAAATCTTAAACCACCAGATTCCGGTTTAAAAATAAAAGTTCCTCGGCGAATTCAAGTACTGTATACATATATATATTGGATATAGACTTTGAAATAACCAAATTAAGCTTTGCGGGTGTAATATGTTATGGATTTTATACAGACACAAAATGTTGGCTCGAAATTACGATAAAGCAAACTTTGCGAAAAAGACCCAGTCATGGTAAAAAAAAAAAAAAAAAAATAATCATGATCCCGTAAAAAAAGGTAAAATAAATTGAAAGTGCGATCAAGTTGTCCGCTCAAAGCCAACTGACCGACTCTCTTACAAACGTATATTAACAATACAAATGTAATACTGCACCCATAAAATTCCCTTATGTGAACGTCTATGGATTGTACAGGTATAGCACACCCCGGTGGGGTTTATCGATTCAGGGCTCGAGCAAGCGAGCGCGCACGCGCTCAACAAGTATATATATATATCATCATAGTAGCCGTAGTCTTACAGGAGGGTAGTCTTGGCACGAAAACGCCAAAAACGAAACTTTCGTGGGAATATTTTTGCGTGCGTGGTTAGTTGAAGACAAAAATCTGGGATTAAAAAGAGGATATCTTTTTCAACTTTTTCAATACTAGTCCCCCCCCGCAACGAGCCTCTAACAACGTCGTGTATATACACATCCATCCACGTACGTACGAGAAATAAGCACCACTTGATCTACATTCGCGTAGGAGTACGTATGTAGATTTTTTTTCCAGTCTCAGTTTAATTTGAAAAGCTCTCGCCGAGGTGACTTGCCTCTCTTGTTACAGTAAATACGTATCGCAATAAACAAACGAAAATTCAAGCTCCTCCTTGGGAGTGGAGGGTCCATGAAAAGTGTACACCTAATACGTAGTGATAATCTTGTACTACGGGCTTTTTTGCTTCCAGACGAGCAAGCGCCATGCGGTTTAACGAGTCCCTTTGCTACTCCATGCCGCCCGTGCACACTGGACTGCAAAACAATAAGTGAGTATGCGTACACAGGTGTATCGCTTCACAATATGATATTTTTTGGTGCATGCTTTGTTTTGTATTTTTCAATCCCTCCGGTGTTACTTTTTTTTCGTGCGCGCGCACTGGAAATTCAATAATTGTGTTTCCAAATTAAAGGGGGTGTTTTTTTTTCTCGCCTTTCGATCCTGTAGTTTATCAAATCGAACATTTTCACACCACCAATTAGTTCGAGAAAAAAGGGTGATCCCTTGTCACGCACTGCTTGACAAAATTTTCGCAGTGTACACGAAAAACTAATTTAGAAAAAAAAAAAATTGTTGAGTATTTAATAAAGTATTTAAATTTTTGATTTCAAATGTTTGACAATGAATTTAAATACCTTAAGTGTGTTTATTCAGGAAAAAATGTTCTTTTATAATATAGAAGAAGAAAAAATCTAAAAAGCAATTGTGCCCAAGTTTGCCCTTATGTATCGATTGTCGAATAGTATTTAAAGAATTTACATTTTGATTATATACGATTATCTCTGTGAATTGATCTTACAATTTATTGATTAAAAAAAAAAAAAAAAAAAAAAAATCCTAAAGTATAGCTAGTTACATCCAGAATATATATTATAAAAGTAAATATCGCGGTTCACAAGTGCAGATATTGATGCCCACGAACGGTAATATCCATTTATGTTATAATACTCAATGCACATCGTATGATAAATTAACTCAGGCATTAAAATTTTTCTTTTTCAATCGTTTCATATACATGCGCGTGCTTACACCCTCTTGTTGTTTGTTCAGTCAACATCTACTGCTGCTGCACAGGAGCTCGTCGGAGATAATAGTAAACGCAACAGAGAAGGACAGCATTTCGCTGGATCAGGAAAACCGGCACGAGTTTCACACCGGACAGGACACAAGTACCTACTCGTCCCTCGCCGTCACTCGTAGTTACAAGTTAAACGAACACAACAACAATAACAATAACAACAACAACAACAACAACAACAACAACAACAACAGCAACAACAATCTCGACAGCAGCACCAACTTGCAGCCAAGCAGCTCGACCGAAAGCCTAGCCGACTACGAAGGTCTTGCTTTTACTATATGCGTACAATATTCGAGATAGTCCTATCATCATATTCTATTGCATCTAATACCATTGGTTGGCGTGTAAATGCAGGATACTACGAGGAGGAGCCACAGGGGAATTTATCGGGCTCGGATTGGTCGGTGTACTCCGAGGACGGCAACATGCCGGATGGCTGCGGCCGAGGCATAGTCAACCCGAATTACCTGGGCTTCCAGCACTTGGAGCCTTCCCTGCTCAGCGACACCGACGACACTGTGGACGAAGACGAAGACGACGAGAACTCAGAATCTAGCTCGGAGGAGCTCGAGGACGAATTCAACAACAACAACAACAACAACAACAACGACAACAACGACAACGACAACAACAACAATACCGAGGGAGTCGTGGATGAGACCGCGGTCAACCAGCTCGATAACCAGCTGGACGAGGAGAAGCAGTTGTTTTACAAAAAGCCCAAGTTTAACTTGCAAATGCACGGCGGTCTCGCCGATCCGGTCAAAGGGGGTTCGCCGTGCCCCGACCCTGGCCGGGATCGGTTGAGCGAAAACGAGTCGCGCGACAACTACGTAAGTATACTTACCACCTTGTGTTGTGTACGAAGTGTGCCTATACTTGCTTTTGGGTGTGTGAATGGCAAAATGCAAAAAAAAAAAATAAAATAAAAAAAGGGGGCAAAAATATGCTGCAGTATACGTTTATATGATTGTATTTTTACTCTTTTAGGATGATAATTCAACCGTTAACTATACATTAGTTGATTTTTTAAATTTCATGCAAAATCAGCAAAACGTTGAAAAAGACCTTACCGAAGACGAGAGAAGGGCGGTCGACGAGGTTTTTTTCACCAAAGCCCCCGTAAGTTATATATTTCAATGTACATATACATATAGGAGTTATTGTTTAACAGTTTTTCGTTACCTGCGCGCGTGTGTCGTCAAATTTCAGAATCTCTGGTCGTACCTCGAGTGCATAAATTACGTGAAGAGTCTGCGACCGACGACGGAGGCCAACGAAATATTGGTCGACGTGAGCGACGTCGAGGTCGTCCAGTTGACGACGAGTGTCAAGGAGAGCCTGCAATACCCCGAAATCGAACAGATTCCCGATTCAACTAGAAGCAGCGAGGCCGAATGGGTAAGGTTTTTATTTTATTTTTTTCATTACTTCAAGTCCTTGTTTACGAACATGAGTTACTCACCCAGATCGACGAGTCGCCAGTGGACAACCAGGTCGATCTGATTCGTGAAGTTCAGCGAAACTCGTTGAATCCCTTCTTGAACAACTCCACCACCGACAACAACAACAGCAACAACAATAAAAAGAGCGACGAGGACGTGGAGGACGACGACGAAAACCTCAAGGCGACGAAACGCAGGAGACCAAAGGACGAGGGGTCCGAGTGCAAGCTCGAGGGGATAGATTTGCTGGCGAGTATCAACCGGAGGGACGGTTCTCCCGGTGGCCGGAATTACCCTCGACGTCATTTGCACGACAACCACCTGCTGTGCTACCCATCGGTCCCCGACGTCATCGCCATGGACGTGCCGGGGGAGCGTTTGCTCCGCGAGCCCGACTCGGAGGAGCACCTGGTGAACTTTTCCCCGAGCCAGCCCGACGTTGCCCACCTGGACGACAAAGCGCGCCACCAGCAACACCGGAGCGTTGCCGCCAGCATGGCCAGCACCCTGGCGCCCACCAATCCCTTCTTCGAAGACATCAAGAACAAGGCAGAGAAGGAGCTCGAGAGCGGCAAGTCATGCGTTGATAAAGGGGTTTTCGTTCGGATCTTTTTTTTTTTTCACGAGTGGAGCTCGGGGAACATTCCCGTGGAACTGCACTGCACTCATCAAGATGCGTTTTCAATTGAAAATAAATGAATTCGTTAATCACAAAGTATACCTGTGCGAGGGATTTTAAAAATTTTTACTCGTTTTGACTTGATGACTTTTTTGGAGAGTAGTGTCAAATCATTGGGCACAACCAAATGGAAAGCCGCTTAAAAATATGTTATATTTCACACTCCGCGCTACCAAAGTATATAACTACTTAATATTATATGATTGACGAAAAAACAAAAAAACAAAAAAAACAAAAATTAATTACCCTTGGTCGTTTGGCGTTCAGTTGTTACAGAGAGCTTCGATGTTTACAATATCGAGACGGCGATGCCTACAATCGACATGGATGCCATTGAGACACATTTGAGGGCTGCCGCGCGTGAAGAGGAGCGTCGGGTGAGTCATATGTATATATTATACAAAACACATAGTCTAATAAGTACATACCACGAGCATAAGTATTTGATGAAACGAGGGTAATGCCTTTTCATTCGTTAAATTAAATTTTTCTTTCAACTCCCTCACGTTTTATCCATACTCGTAGTACAATGTACCGCAAATTTTACTTGTATAATATCATTCGTATGGATTTTCGTAGTAATTTTTTTTTTTTTTTTTTTTTTTTTTTTTACCACTTTACGGAATTTTTCGACTTTTGGTTAAAGTTTGAAAAAATTCGTCTCAACATTATCACACTCTGCCCATCATCTGTTTCGACATCAGATGGGCTCCAACGCTTAAGATTCTATATTGTGCGAAACAGCATGTTTAGGCTCAACAGTGTTATAATTGTCATGTAAACAAAAACAATAACAACAACAGCTACGTGTACGTACAAATGTAATAATGGTAATTTACGATAGCTGCTATACATTATAAACAAGTAAATTTAAAGAAATTGAGAAAAAAACCCGTTGTTTTACAATTTTATTATTTTCGCTACGACTGTACATGTAGGTGCATGCGTTTTATATAATTTTGCAATAAATTGCTTCGGTGTTATACTAAGCCTATACAATAACGCTTTCACTCTCCGCCGTCGCTCTCCCCGTGACGTGAGCCGCGCGATGGTACATAAATATATATATACATACATATTTATATTGTTACGTTGAAATAAAAAAGAAGTATAGTAGAGGTGCTATTGGTGTTTTATTCCCGACTGTTGTAACCACTATATATACACATACCACGCACTGGTATGGCTAAGAGAGCACTATAAACATATAGCCGTACACTTTCTCGCTCTCTCTCGTTAAAAAAAAACACACGCACAATAACTCACTAGAGCTCAACCGGTGCCCGTGCAAGTTTCATTGTTTCGACTCTGTGACGTTCCATAGCGCTAAGTAACGGCGGCACAATATTGTCCCATGCTCCAAGTATATACTTACCTAACTGCGCCATCGGAATTGTCGAAAATGCACAGCTTGAATTTGGACAAGCGGCGGCACTACAAGATAGATTCTCGCTTTGTCGGTGACCTGTACACTCTGACCTACGACGACAACGACGACAAAGACTGCTCCGAGGAGTCTGTGAGTGAAAGATTACGGCACATCGCGCGTATTATCTATAGTATGCACGAATAAAATTACGCAGTGCTGTTGTTGTTGGTCCCAAAAAGAGCAGCAGAGAAAAGTTGCAGAATCCCACTTTATTTTTACCGCATGATGTTACACAACATCTGTTTCGTTAAAAAAAAAAAACAACCAAAAACATTTTTTTTTTCCGCAGCGAATCAATGACAGAGAAGAGATCCGCCGGCGATTGGCGATGGGCCCGGAAGCGGACGAACTGCGCAACGAAAATCGGAAAAAGCCCAGTCTGCAGGCTCGCCTCCAGAGCGGTGAGAACAACCATACCGATCTATTTGTACTACTTTCAAAAGAAAAATTCAAAAATGTTTATGAGCACTTTGCGTATAAGAAAATAAAACAACATCGTTTGTATTGTGTTTAGGCATGAATTTACAAATATGCTTCATGAACGAAACGTCATCGGATTCGGAATCGGCGTTTGGCTCCGACGGCCTCGACCTGACCAAGTCGACCCTGTCCCCAACGGCCTCGTCTGGCATCAGCTGTAGCAGCAGCAGAAGCACATCCGCGAACTCCTCGACCTCGTCCTCGATCACGAGTTCGCCGACAAAACTGGCTTCCCAGTTACCACCGCAGTGGCCGGCCAATGCCGCGGCGGCAAGTAGGCCCCAAGTGCTGAATTTGCCGGAGGCAGGTCCAAAGGGTGACGACGAGGGGCCGCTGGACGCGGCGAGTTTCCTCGCGAGGCAGGCTCGTCTGCAAACCGAGGCCAGGGTGGCTCTAGCCCAGGCCAAGGAGATGGCGTACATGCAGATGGAGATCGAGAGGCAGAAGCTCAAGCAGAGCCCCATCACCGAGATGGTGCGGGCCAGCCTACAAAAGGTCAATATTTAAGTTAATCTATCAATCGACTTTCATCCATGGAATCATTGTACCTATACATGTATAGTTATATATATATATATATA